TAGTACAGCGACCATTCTGGGGCTATGAAGACTGGAGAATATTGAATTTCATAAATGCATTTTCATTTGAGGACTGAGTTCACGTGTAGTATAAACAACATTACAATTCACGCTCTATATCGGGCAGAAAATCTGAATGCTTCTGATGGTGCTACGGCTATTGAACAGTACTGAAAATGTCATAAATGCCTTTTGGCAATATCGGGCGAGTAGAATTGAGCACATGTCGCACCAACAGCAGTACTACGAATGCACACTCTTTATCGGTCAGAATATCTGAATAATGCATTAGATCGAGCGTTATGCAACTGCAAACAGCGGACCGCGCGGCCGAGGTACTGAACGCCCAAGACTGGACATTACTCTACTTCTGCCTTAATCCAAATGTCTGTTAATCTCATAGGTCAGCAATCGGAAACTAAAAATGTTGAAGTTTCTGGTAATAATCGCGGAATATTCTTTAAAAATCTCTAGAAAAGTAGTATATAGAGTCCTGAGGGTTCAATGAAAGTATTCGACGCCTAGAGATACAGAAAAAATGTATTTTTGTATGCTTAAGAAAGCTATGAAGTATTGGTGTGAGTAGTTCAGAGAAGAGTCATTGGACAGATCATCAAAAAATTATATTTTTGCTTCAATCTTTGGCTATGATTTCAGACTAATTATCAATAGGTACACTTTTTGGTAAGAAATATATTCGCAAATCGTCATCTTTAACTTGTTTTGCAATAGCAAATTGAGCAAACAAAGCCCCATTTAAAGTGTCTTTTCATACCCAACAACGCTCTTGCATGCAAATAATTCATACTTTTTTGAATATATGAAGAACAGTGACTTTTTCAACTTGGTGCTTAATAACAAAAGATAACCCTCCGATTTTTTTAAATGTTCAGATATTTAGATGTTTACATGTGTAGATGTTTAGATGGGACCAGTTCCATTTTCCTCAAGAATATAATTTAGAATTCATCTATACAATTTTTCATCTGAAATTCCTAGATTCTGCTCTAGAATACGTATTTATTATACCCAAATGTATGCGGTGTTGCTACTTCTTATAAACAAATATTATTATATGAATTGCATCAATACCCGTACAGATATGAATAAATGTACTAAACTATCATAAAGGGTTTGTCCGGAAAGTAATAGGACTGAGTCGATTTAAAAAAATGTATTGAACCTATCGTTACAATTCTTTAAAAACTTTCAAAATAGGCTACTTCTGCGTCGATGCAGCGCTACCAGCGGGATTTCCAAGCATTGAAGGCGTCACGGAAGGCATTCTCTGGAATAACCTTGAGAGCCGCGGTGCATGCTTGCCTTTCATCGGCCTTTTCAGGCGAGGAAACAAAAAAAAGTCCGGGGGGGCACATCGGGGCTGTAGGGCGGCTGCGGAAGCGTTGGGATGCCGCCCTTGGTCAGGTAGCTGTTCACAAGAAAGGCGGTGTGAGCCGGGGCGTTGTCGTGCTGCAACTTCCAGTCGGCTGCGATGTCTTGTCGGACCCGACTGACCGTTCGTTTGAGTCTCCTGAGCACTTCCAGATAAAACTTGGCGTTGACGGTTTGTCCAGGAGAAACAAATTCATGGTGGACGATGCCTTTGAAAAAGACAATGAGCATCGTTTTCACTTTGGATTTGCTGATTCTTCCCTTTTTTGGGCGAGGAGACGTCGTCGTGTGCCACTCGAAAGATTGCCTCTTTGTCTCGGGATCATACTCAAAGATCCACGACTCGTCACCTGTGATTACGTTAATCACAAATTGGGGGTCACTTTCACACATGTTCAAATTTTATTGGCACACTTCCACTCGCCGTAATTTCTGGTCGTCAGTGAGCACCATCTTCGCGCACACCTTACGCATGTTCAAATGCTGTGTCACAATGTCATGAACCACAGATTTTGGTAAATTTTATATCTGGGCAATTAAATGAATACTTAGTCGATGGTCTGAGTTCAAAACTTTGCGCACACGAGTCACATTATCGGTGTTTGTCGAAGTCAGCACGGTCTTCATCAGCGACCTCTTCCCGGCCCTCCAAAAAGGCCTGGTGCCACCGAAACACACCACTTCTTGCCAAACCAACACCTGGGTAAGCCTGCTTGATCATATCAAACGTCTCTGTAGCAGATTTACCGAGTTTCACACAGAATTTAATCGCGTACCTCTGCTCTAACGAACTCTGCATTTTCGGCTAGCACCACTCACAGAAACACGTCGCGCGAAAATGCCTGTCCTGACTCTCCAAGTGCTCGGAGACAACTGACCAGCCGCTCATTCGTTAGCTAGGAACGCCCTCTACCGAAGCCAGTCGGTGCGCGCACGCTCCGAAGTACAGTCATGGCGGAAGAAAATGAGTCCTATTACTTTCCGGACAAACCCTGTATCGTGCTCTTCAAAAAACCCCCATTGCTACTTATTTTTTGAACAGGTCAATCTAGCAAACTGAAATCACCACAATGGAATTAATACGTGGATACTATATTTTAGCGTAAAATTGGGAGTTGTAACATGTTATGTCAGTAATCTTCTTTTCAGGGGGTCTATCTAAACGTACAATAAAATATGGAACATACAAAAAATAGTTTAATCAAACCAAAATGAAATCGTTTAATTGAATTTATTAAACTCTTTACTTAGATTGAGTACACCAATTCATTTAAAGCTAATGAACTACTAAAATGAGTTTACCTGTTTCAAGTGAAACAATTTCGTTATATTTGTGTTTAATTGTTTTCAATATACCATTACTACATAAAATAAATTATCTAAACAAATTAAACGGCTTAATAAAACAGGTTTCTGGTTTACTATTTCCAATTTCGAAAAACTTGAGTTTAATTAATCCAAATAATTTAGTTACTTAGAACAATTAAAAAATGTACTTCGAGTAATCAAAATTTTCCACAAAAAAAAATTTTTAATTGACCGCGTTTTCTCAGTGTAGGATGCTAGCTCACAGTTTTTAAGGATGGTGATTTTATATTCAAGGATTACTCATAAGGAGCTTCAAAATATCACATGACATCTCATTGTCTCTATTAGAACGTGTTCCAAAATGTGGCCCAGCTGCCATCTTGAAACTATTAAATGCTCTTTTACGTTGAAATATAGTATCTAATCTATTTCAGCTGGCTCAGTTGAGTTGTCTCGTTCAAAAAATAAGTAGGGTACTGTATATTTCAGTTAAAAAGAGTTGGGTAACTTTTGAGATCTATTTGCTTATTAATTGCAATTTGTCCAATTCATAATTACTTCAAATTGTGTTTATGTCCAACCATTAAAATTAATCTGCCACATAGGAAATTCGTGTTTTTGCGCCACAATCAAATTACTATCAATTTCCATTAATAATATTTATCGTTATCAATTGCTACCATGTTACGTATACCACAACCGTTTATCCAGAAATGTCCCATTTCATCTTAATCTGTATTCTAATAATGTGCCTTTCTGACCACAATCAGTAATTAACTGTAATCAAGAAACGACATGGCAATTAGCCAATTACACGTTAAGTAATTTTAGTTTCAGCGCACACATGGTTTCAAGTTTTAAAACATAAGTTATCAATTTACTCAAACCAATGTCCATTAGATGCAATTTCTAAAGCTAAAAATTGTGATTAATCTCTAATCCCTGTAATTACGAAAGCAGGCTAATAGATTTTGCACTCGCCTAAAGAATAACAGAACCGGGCTAGGAGCATTGAGGGCATGCGGTTAATGTAACTTCCGAAACTTATCTTATAGTTTTCATGTGAATAGGGATGCACAGCTTGACTTGATTTTTTAAGCTACTTGACTGGAAATCAGGTCAAGTTCAAGTCAAGTATTAGATATTAGCAATCTGTTTTCAAGTCAATCTTCAAAATATAATATATAATATTCAAATAGTCTTGATATCACTCGATAATTTTTGTGAAATACGATAGAAAGATGGCGAGCATCAACCCATAGTCTTCAAAACAAAAATACACTGCCACGCAAAATTAACCGGACAAACAAAATTATGTTCAAATTAAATTTGAAATAACTTTTTAACCTTTGCATCGATTTCGTTAATTGTTTCGTCAAGTTGTAGGTAATTTCATTGTCATCATTATCGACTATCGATCTTGCAAAAAAAATTTAAAATGTTTGTTGTTATACAGGGTGTAACTAAAAAGTGCATTTTCCCTAAATTTCTAAACGCCCTGTGGAAACATGGGATTACTGAATAATATGCCTTCGTATGAGGATTTTAAGCCTCAACTTTGTTCAATACTTTTTTTTTAATTCATGTCAATATCTCGATTATTGAAGAATATATCGTTGGTTTGGAAGAAGAATGGCACAACTAAAAAATTGACATTTTTTAGTTTGACCCGCTAACCAACTCAAAAAGGTAAACTTTATTATGGGAAAAATAGTCACAAGTTGCACTCATGTAGTTAACGCTAGATGGCGACTTATGACAGTTTGACTTTGTGTAACTCGTGCATTTATTTGTATGGAATAGCGGCACATTATTAGTTGCGTCTCAGTTGTTGTGGAAGTCACATCGCGTGTTTTCGAGAATAGTGTCACAAGTGAAAAAGGAACGTATTTTTTGGTATTTTGTATTTAATATTTTATGCAAGACAGTCACATTTCGATTTAGGTAAGTATTCCTCATAGGATATGTGCCTTTAAAATGAATTATTATGTGCAACACAGTCACATTTCGACTTGTGTCAGTATTCCTCATAGGATATGCGTGTTTATAAAGGAATATTATGTGCAATATCGTCATTTTTGACTTAGAACGGTATTCTTCAAAATAATCATGACAATGTCAAAAGTTATTTTATTAGTTTGAGTACTATTTTGATATGTGACATTTTTCTACATAAAATCTACTAATGATTCATTGTTTTTTTTTACTTGGAACAATATTCGTAAAAATAATTTAAAATTTTCGAAGTTGTTTGTGCAATTTTCTGAAATGTACGTATTTGTTGCTTCACAGTCTATACAATGAGTTCCCAGCGAGCGAAACTTATATTAAAGTTAGCAAAAACCAAAGCAAGAGTAGAGAAGAAAGAGAATGGTGCGCAGGATAGTTGGAAAATTTCGCAGCATAATAATATTGGCAATACGAGCAGTACTGCAGAGGAAGCTGTTAATAGCGTCACGGTCAATAAAGGTTTGTTTTTCTATTGTTAATAAAAATAAACACAAATAAATGTTCATATAATTTTAGAGTCCCTAAACATGATTGAAAGTAATAATATCCGCAATAGTTTAAAAGAAGCCAAAAATGCAACCGAAGATAAGAATAATATAGAGTCTGTAAATCAGATCGATCTGCCAAGCCAAAACGTTATCTCCCAAACGACAATCATTCCTGGTATCATCTTTGATGAGAGTTCAGAAGATATTGGAGGTGTTACATTAATAAATAGAACTCGATCTCAGGGCTTACTTAGAGCGGATGAATATAAAGAATTCCCTAGCAGTAATGGTCCTAGCAGTGAGCTAATAGAAGAAGGTGATTTAGGTAGTCATAGCTAGTTAAAAAAAATGTTCCTCTAACACAAAATTTATTGTTACAGAAGCCACTTCTTCTGAAGTATTTTCTGTTGAACCTGCAATTCAAACAAATAACAATTCAAGTAGTAGGTCCTCAAGTGATTCGGACCCAACCAGTTCTGAAGAAGAACCTTTTGGTTCTGGTGCTTCAGAAGAAGATCCTGATTTTGAACCAGAAAACATATTGTCTTCCAGTGAATCCGAAGTAGATGGTATACCTCAAAATGTAGCTTTACCAATACGTCGTTCAGTGCACTATCCTTCTGAAACAGAGAAGCAAACTAAAAAACGAAAAAGAGTCCCAGATGAATGGCAAAAGAATAAAGCGTGGGGAAAAATGCCGCTTAAAGTGTTCCACCAAAATCTCACAAGATCAGAGGCAAAAAATTTTTGAAGAATATTGGCAATTAGGAGATGTCCTGCAACAACGTGGATTTATAGCAGGCCGAATGCTTACTATTAAGCCAAAATATAGATATCAGAAAGGCGAAAATAGTAGACGTCTAAATTCTAGTTTCTTCTTCGACCTTGATGGACAAAATATTCGAATCTGCAAACAATTTTTTATGTCCACGTTAGGTATTAGCAGTAGAGTTATTCGAACGGTTACAGAAAAACAAGATTCGATGACTAAAGGAATTCTTAAACAAGAAATGAGAGGAAAACACACCAACCACTATTCATTTTCCAATGGCATAAAAGAAGATATTAGAGCCCACATCAATTCTATTCCAAGAATTCCCAGTCATTATTGTAGGTCGCAAACTAAAAAGGAGTATATTGAAGGTGGTAAGACTGTGAGAGATTTATACAGGGATTACAAAAATATCTGTCAAGAAGATAATAAGCCTTACGCATACTACTTAATGTATTATACTATTTTCAATCAACAGTTCAACATAGCATTTTTTATTCCTAAGAAGGATGCATGTGAATTATGTCTTGCGTACACAAATGCCAACCAGGAGGAAAAAACCCACATGAAAAATAAATACGACACTCATCTGAAAGAGAAAGAATTATCTCGATCAGAAAAGCAAGCCGATAAAGTTTCAGATAAAGTAGTCGCTGTGTACGACCTCCAAGCGATATTACCATGCCCAATCGGTAACGCCTCAAGTTTCTATTATGTGTCAAAACTTAATGTCTTCAATCTAACTATGTTTGAATTGCAAACAAATCAAGCATATTGTTATCTCTGGCACGAGGCAGAAGCCAAAAGGGGTGCTGATGAAATAGGTTCATGCGTGTGGAATTATTTACGAAATTTGCAAGAAAACGTTTCAAACTCGGACGACAAATCAAAAGTTTTAGATATAATTTTTTACAGTGACAATTGTGCGGGACAAAATAAGAACCGATTTATCATGTCTTTATACACTTATGCAGTTTCAAATTTAAAGTCTGTACAATCTATAACTCACAAATTTTTTATCGCTGGGCACACGCAAAATGAGGGCGATAATGTACATGCCATTATTGAAAAAGCAGTTGCCAAAATTCGCAAATCTGGGTCCATCTACATATGTGCCTGAGCAGTACGCAACAATAATCGGACAGGCAAAAAAAACTGGGAAACCATTTTCTGTTAATGAAATGTGTCACAAAGATATCCTTGACCTGAAGGATCTTTCTTCTCAGCTCGGCATGAAACCTAATTTCAAAAATGAAGAGGGTGAAACCGTTAAAATCACCGACTTAAAAATGTTTATGGTAAAGAAAGAGTGCCCGGGAGTGCTATTCTACAAAACCTCTTACAATGAAAAGGAGTATTCACAAGTCAACATTTTACATTTGAGGCGCCAAAAACCAGATTTCTCTTCGGTGAAGTTAAAAAATGTTTACAAGGCAAAAGTCGGTATTACAGAAACTAAAAAAAAAATCATTATTATCATTGTTTAATAAAAAACCTGACAAACGAGTGGTCCCAATGTACTATTTCGATTTTTATGATAGATTATAGACTTTCTACCTAAATATTTTCTGTGCTGTTCTTTAAATATTTTTATTTGTTTATTTCTGTAAATTTAAATAAATAAAACTGTATTTTCGACCATAAATTACTCCATTGTTTTATTTTGTGTCAAACGTTTCAATCAAAAATGTTAAAGAAATTTTGGGAAAAACTGTCACAAATGCTAATTTCAGGTAAAAAGGTGAGGACAGGTAATGTCTTTCTATTATATTTAAGTGATTATAACGGGACCCTTAAGGTTATAAAATATTTTACCCCTTATTTTTTACCTTAAAAAAATTATGATGAGAACTAGCACATTGAAATTTTAAAACATCTCTCCTGAAAATTAATACTTTTCCACTTGTGATAGTGTTCTTCCAAACCAACGATATGCTATTTTGAAGAAGATCATGCGAATCATAGCCATAAACCATTTAATTTAAGAAATTACAGTGACAACATTGGTAAGAAAACTATGCGAATCATAACCATAAACAACTTAATCTAAGAAATTACAGTGACATCATTGGTAATTAGAAATTGTTATCAAAAACGAGTATTTCCTCCCCGGGCTTGAATAACAGCTCTCATCCTCTCTGGCATAGACTCAAATAAACCAGCTATTGCGTCTTGGGATAGTTGCTGCCACTCGTTTACCAGCGCCTGTTCAAACGCAGCCACAGTTTGAAAATCTCCATATTTCTGGCTAAGTCTTCGCCCTAATGTATTATACCACATTTGCTCAATGAGGTTGAGATCCGGACATTTTGGCGGCCAGTCTAGTACTTGAATTCCAACATCGTTGGGATATTGCCTAGTCATTCTGGCTATATGCAGCCGAGCCTTATCTTGACTTAGGAGAAAATTTTCTTCCATAAAGGGCATATGAGAAACCATATGTTCTTCCAATGTACATGTCGGCAGTAAGGTGTCCTCCTCGTAGCGATACAAGATCTGGGGGTTCCAAAGGTATACCGCCCCATACCATGACTCCTCCACCATCAAATTGCACTCTAGGACCGAAACAACTTTGAGCATAGCGTTCTCCACGTCTTCTCCACGCTCTTTGGTGACCATCAGGTAAATATCTCGTAAAACGAGACTCGTCTGTAAAAATAACGTTTTTCCAGTCGTCCATATCCCAATCTGCATGAGTTCGAGAAAATACCAAGCGCTGCCTTCGATGACCTACATCCAGTAGAGGACCTGTAGCAGGTACATATGATGTTAGGTTTCGTTCTCTTAATCTTCGGCGTTCGGTATCAGGTGAAACTATGGTACCATGAACATCATTCGATCTTCAAGTCAAAGCGGTAGCAGGAACTATCCTTTCTTGAAGAGCTTGAAGTCTCAGAAACCGATCTTCAACTGCGCTTGTTGCTTTCCGTCTTCCTTGCCCAGGTCTTCTTGAGTAAGAACCAGTTTCTCTAAATCTTTGTATCGCATCGAATACCGTACTGCGTGGAACGGTAGGCCTTTCTGCGATACGTACATAACAGCTAAGCTTACCAATTTTATACATTTTCACAGAATAATTTATTTTTGAATTCCCTTGGTTGGTCCTCGCCACCCTATTTGTCACACGTTTCAGACAAAACTATACATTTGGACAAAATAATTTGTTCATCGTAGAAAGAAAATGTAAACTCAAGTAGAAAAAAAAAACATTCTTCATCAGCTAATACAAAAAAATTTAAAATTCTAAATTAACTTTTCATTCGCTAACCACAAGCTAAGACACATGAGGTTCGGAACGGATTTATAATGGTGGTAAAATTAAAAATAAAAATTAGTTGTTAAGTTGTTTTCTCTTTTTGAAGAAGTTTAATTTTAATTTGTTTTTATATTTATATAAATACTGTGTATCTGTGGTTGTCTAATCATATTAGCAAATTTCCCCGAAATAGTTGTAAGTCTGGTTTTATTAGTGAAAGTTGTTCAAGGGGGTGGGAAAACTTTTTATTCGACAACAAAGAATGAGAAAACGTGTTTTTAGGATTCAATCGAAAGTTTTGACAGAAATGAAAAAAATAAATAAGATTTTTAGGTATTTATGAGAGCTACAAAATGAGATCACTTGTAAAAAATCCGACTGATAGCAAAAATATTATGGCCGAGAAACGAGGCAAAATGCAGGTCTTGACACTTGTTGGTAATGCGACGATAATTTCACGCAACTTCCTGAAATTCTTCAAATCCGTAGGATACATGCTTCTCAATAACAGCAACAAAATTGGAGTATATAGGTCAAGTAGTTTTTGAGAATTTCCAATTGTTTATCCCAAAAACACCTGTCTTCCGGTCATCACTACTAATTTATTGAGCAATATACAGGGTTCGTCCAAAGAGCATTTAATAGCAGAATGCATGTGTTTACCTTGCCGATATGAATTACAAAACATTCCGAAGGATAAATGTAATTATTATACGAAAGACGAAGGTTACGATTTTTCTTCTAAACAAATTCAAACATTTCGTATTTGTGAGTAATTGAACAAATGCGCTACGATATTCGAAAAACATACGTTACTATACACATTTTAAAAAAAAAGTGGATCATCTTTTGTTGCGAATTATTGACAAATACGAAATGTTTGAATTTGTTTAGAAGTAAAACGTAACCCATCCTTTTTTGCACAAAAATAACATTCATCTTCTCGAATATTTTGCGATTCATATCGGCAAGGTAAACTAGTGTATTTTGCTATAAAATGCACTTTGAACTGACCCTGTATATTGCTCAATAAACTAGTAGTAATGTCCGGAAGACAGGTGTTTTGGGATAAATAATTAGAAATTTTCAAAAACTACTCTCCACCAATCTTCTCCAATTTTGTTGTGGTCATTTAGAAGTATCAATCCTACGAATTTGAAGAATTTCAAGTATCTGCGAGAAACCATCGTCGCAGTAGAAACAAGTGCCAAAGCTTGCAGTTTGCCTCGGTTTTCGGCCATAACTTTTCTGCTATTAGTCGTACCTTTTTCCGTGTGGTCTCATAGATACCTAAAAACCATATATCAAGAGTTTTTCGTTCCTGCCAACACTTTCGATTGAATCTCAAAAAACACGTTTTCTCGTTCTTTGTTTTCGAATAAAAAGTTTTTATTATATATATTTATTTTATGTGTCCACGTTTTGAATACCCCCTTGAACAACTTGCAGCAATTAAACCAGCATTTAGAATTATTTCGCGAACCAGGGGTATTTTCGTCTAATATGATTAGACTATACATTCTATACGAAAATATGTTTTTCACAGATGGCGCTGCATGGCCCAAAAACCCTTCATCTGCCACTGATCTTACGCCGGCTCTGATGTTTTCTTCCTACCTGTCCTTGAACATAGCGAATTTCAACGACACTATATATCATTTTCTTGTTTTTTGGTTCGGCAACGCTGTTTGCATCATTCGAGATGGCAGTGACAATTTTTGATTTTCTACGTGATTATTTGCAATAAAATACAAAATGAGGCTCAGTGGTTGTATTTGTACAAATAAATATCACTGAAGGTCTTTAGCAGACCAAAAATTTAAGTTACCATCAAGTATCAAGTCAAATAGGTCAATGAAAAAATCAAGCCAAGCATTAACTATCCAAGTATATAATTTTGTTGTCAAGTAGTTCATGAAAATATCAAGCTACTTGATGAAACCCTAGTGCAGGCAATGGAGTCCTAAGATTATTGAGACTCGCACCCGATTTGCTCAAGAAATTAGTCTTCGTCCAATCACAGGTACGCCAGAAATTCTGACAATTTCCTCATAGGAAACCTAAAAATATGATAGGCCATTATGGAAGCAGTGTTCCAGCTTTCGTGTTCCATT